CCGGAATGGCGTGTAGTCGGTCGGAGGAGGAGCGGGACACAGACTCTTTTGACTGCGGCTCTCTAAGGTCGATGCACCCTGAGCGCGGTTTCTCCATTCCACGCCTTCTTCGGGTTGGGGCCGCTCCACCCTTGGTTCGGCAGGAGAGCGAATGCGCGCTCCCCTTGTTCGTTTCCGCCTTTGAGGACAACCAACTTCCGACACCAAAATGGGCGCCCAACTTGGGGCGCAGCATGAATGGCGACCGGGCGGGTCTCTGCGTTATTTTCCGCGAGTATGTTTGGTTAACGACGATGAGATTACAATCGAGTTAGAGTCGCGCTTTGCCTCAAGTCGAAAACTTGTCCAGAATGCGCGGAGTAACGGATCTTTCTATTTTGAGTCTTGACACTGCTTACTGACCTCGAACGAACATGGAAAGTCCCAGAGGAACCAGACAGTATCGTCCAAATGATTTGGCGCAGAAATGAAAATAACTCTGAATTTCGCCCTTTTAATGTACGCGCTCAGAATAAAGTGTTGATTGTATTTTTTTTTTTTTTTTTCAGAAAAGATATTAAGGCATTGCGACAGCATTCTACTCGTGTTTCGGGGGATCTCATTTAACTTATTTCGGGGGATCTCATTTAACTTATTTATCGAAGCATGATCGCGTTTTTATATTAATTTCCCTAATTTTATACACTTTTGTTTGCATGCTGCATTTTTTCATTTTTTTATTCGTAGATATAATTAATAAATACGAACCATACGAAATAGGTATTCTCTTCCTTGTAAGCTGTGACCGCCACGAAGCTACATATGTTTTCAAAGAGAGCACACGTGATGGGTTGCCTGTTGTTATAGACAAAAAAAAAAAAAAAAAGCTTTGTTGTTTTTGTTTTAAAAAGGTAAAAGGCCTCTGTGGGAGTTCGCTTTTTGGAAGCACTCAGCGAGGTGTTCAGGAAGTGTAATGCCTGCTTGTGAGAAAATATCTGATCCACCAGAATGTTAGAAGTGTTCGAACTGGTCGGTCGCAGACAGCATTGTGCACGTTTATTATAACCAAGAACGTAGGGCCTTCGCCGTTCCTTTTCATTCTTGTAACGCTTTCTTTTAATACAGCTTGCATTGGTTTCAAAGGAGCGCGTGGTTGTTACAGTTGCGGCAATCTAACGTTACAGTTACATCTACACGGTATAAACTAAAATCGAAGTATGATACTATTTAGATAAAATAAAGTTAAAAACCCCAGGTCATTTATTGTCTCATATTAAACTGCCCTATAGCTTTTTTGTCTGAGAGAGTCGCCATTCTTGGACACAAAATATTGTATGAACGTTCAGAGGCATACTGTTTTCAAAATCTGTGCACATATTATTTATGTGGTTTCTGGAGAACAGAGTAAACCTTTCTCTTTCAAGAACACCTAAAAAACGAGATAGCTGCACTTTACTTCGTTTTCCCATAGACCCTTATGCATTTTTGGTGCCAAGAAATGGCGGCCATTAGTGTCCGTTTACCCCAGAAGCAAAAGCCTCAATGCCCGATTCAGCCTATTATAACAAAATCAGTTATGGTTTTTCCTTGCGGTCAAAGCACCTGTCTCAAAGCGGCGGGACAGTGCCTCAGCGGTGGTCAGAAATCCGTCCGACTTTTTTGGTTATTCTTCTCTACATATCAACTCTGTCACCACGACCGTTTTCAGCCATATTTCCTATTTAGGGTGAGTCGCCACGGATACTATGGGCATTTGACCTGTTTCATTGGTCTTTTACGCTGTAAAGGTCGCCTCAGGCGCGTTTAATTGTACCGAGAGAATGTAATTGAAAGAAAACTTGAGACTAGGACAAATAAAAAAAAAAAAACGGACAATACGACACAGATTCATAAACAAGCTGCGTTCGAAATGCTGTGCCGTGCTGTCCGTTTTTTTTTTTTTTTTTTTTTTTCTATTTGTGCCAGTGTCAGGTTCCCTTTCAATGATGTTTCCTAACCGGCTCGCCTGCGTACATTCCCTCCTGAGAAAATGGTCAACATTCAAATTCGAATATAAGTTCGAAATTCATTTCAGTGGCGCTTTTGTAAAGTGCCCTCCTTTACTAATCTCTTAGACAATATTTCATTAATGCAAAATTTAATACTGTCGTTTCTTCAGTTCTACATCCCCCCCCCCCCCAAAAAAAAAAAAAATCTGTTTTCACTTACTGTTTAATATACCAGTTCAGTGTCGCCGTTGCTCAACGAAGGAATTACTCCAAAGTGGCTGCCTATTAAAATTCGAATGATTCGCGTACCTAGAATATAAAAAATGTTCAGTAAAAAAAAAAAAAAAAGACAGTTTTATGCAAGACGGGTAAATACGAAAATCTTCGTTCGTTCTCAAAATAGTGGCTCCAAGTCAAACAAGCTTGACGACAAGGCCGATCCGCTGAATTTGTGACGTCACCAATGGGAGGCCAGCTCGGGAAGCGCTGATTGGACACGGCAGCTGCATGAGCGTTCGGCTTGGACTCGTGTTTTCACTGATTGAGCACGAGCCCCAGCCGAACACTGACGCAGCACTCGGGTCCAATCAGCTCTCCCCGCGCTGCCTCCGGTCGGGACGTCAAAAATTCGGGACATCGGCCTTGTCGTCTAGGAGGTGTTGGTGCGAGCCATAGTGCGAGAATGATAAGTACCAGGGTAGTCTTGACTCAAATGATGTTATTAGTTTTTTATTTGCTACATGTTGATTGCTTTGTTGGTATTCAGAAATATGTTGCATATATGCCAGGGGTGGCCAGGCTGACCCGGCCTAAGAGCCGCAAACAAAACCGTGGAACTTCCAAGAGCCGCGTGTGTGTTTGTGTGTGTGTGTGGGGGGGGGGGGGGGGGAGGCACACTTTTGTCAAGAGCAATAAACGAAACAAACTAATTTCAATCAATCCGAGTAAAAAGCAGTCGAACGTTACGTAAGGTAGCAGTAGCACAAGACAATTAAACCGTGACCTGTCTTTCGATTCTAAACGCCTTCATTTTTTTAGACCACCTGAGATGGTAAACCTACACCAGCTCGCCTGCGCCCTAACTGTTTTTTTTTTTTTTTTTCATTAAGCGTTCCATTTCTATTTTTAGGGAAGTGTTTGCGTGACCGGGAGGGAGGCGGGAGAGGGGGGGGGGGGGGGGGGGACTAGGGGAGGGAGCCGCGAGCCGCACTTTAACACGCGAAGAGCCGCATGCAGCTCGCGAGCCGCAGCTTGGCCACCCCTGATATATGCAAACTTCCATAACCCAAACAGAACGAGACGTATAACAAACTCATTGTGCCTTATCGCTTTAATACACTCTTGAAAAAATTCGTTAATTTTGTTGACCAATATAACTTCCTAACCACAGGTGGTGTAAGTAGACAAAAATGTGCACTGTTTTTTTTATAACATTTATAATGAGTGTGCTTGCCTTTCTAAAATGTCTGCCGACCCGTTCTGGCTTCACGGCTAACAATATGCTAAAATAAAAATAATAAAAAAAAATAAAAAGAAACCGGTAGGAGACTGAAGTCTTTTTTATTTCAGTGCACCTGCAAAGGTGCACGAACGAAAACGTCATTATCCACGAGCCTTTTTTACTAAAACAAAAGTAAGAAACAGGAGGTTTGAGAAGGAATACGAGGATAATTAATTAGATAATTATTTGAATTATTAGGAGGGGGATTGAAGTGCATCGAGAGAAAGGAGATCGGGTCATCTAGAGACAAGGACCGGACAAGTTCAGAGAGACGCGAAAAAGACTGAAACCAGAAAGCGGTGCTTGAAACGACCCCACGAGGGGCAAGGAAGAGAGACATGGAAGAGAGATTGAGTGCCGGTTCTTTTCATCAGGGCGTAACAGAAAGATGTAAGGAAAGCAAAAACGTGGGGGAGGGTAGTGAACCTGCTGTAGCGTATTTTAATAGAGTTGAATATAATTATAAGCAGACAAAAGCCGAGTTGGAACAACAAAATTGCACCAAGAGCACATTCGTCAAACATAAAAACTTCTCAAACTTAAAAGCAGCGTTTTTTTTGTTTTGTTTTTTTCTAAGTCCTACGATGCATTTCTTTGGCGCGTGTCGCTTTAAATGTGGTCTTACCTAGCTTTTAGTTTCTAAAGAATTTGTGTTGTTCTAAAGGCATGTGTGCATTAGCGCCTCCTGATTTTGCCTTGGCTAATATTTTGCCGCCTTTCTAGTCCGTTTTACTATTTTTAGTATTATTGTTGGATAGGCGATCGCGGGCACATGTTGCAAGCCCTTAAACAAAAGTTTCAACTTACAGGTACCGTAAAGTTCACTTCATCGGTAATCTCTCATGGGAATCTCTCAGTGACAACGCGCTTGCCTGTCAGCCTTCTTTTGCTCTGCCTGTCTCGTTGCGCTGTTTGCACTCTTAAGAATGAACTACCAAATAGCCCAGTAGTCAAAGTTAACTAACAAACCACAGGGCGTTCTGGAACGTAACCTTTTTTCTCTCTCTCTAAATAAATTAACATAGGCGTGACTTGATTGACCCCAGCTGGAGTACGCTTCATTCTTCTGGAATCAGTTATTTTTAGAACGTCGGATATTTAGGAGGCAGTTCAAAAACGCACCTTGCCCGATTTGTTCACCCCAACTATAGCTTAACGGCTAGCGTCAGCGCACTTAAAATTCAACATGGAAGTCCCGCTTCTGTAAACACGCAGAATGGTGTCCACCCTAAAACTATACTGGACGAGTTTTACTGCATCTCCTTTGGTAGGAATGCAGTAAACCTTATACTGCACACTCGGAGTTTACCCCTTTCGTCGCTAAGATAACTCTCGCAAACTGCTTTCATTTCTTCCTAGGACCGATAGTTTCACATTTGTCCACTCGCAGCTTTCTATTCGCAATTGTAACAAACTACCGCGCTCAATAATAAGCATATATCATATTTAAAGCGTTTGGGAAGTACCTGCCCCCTTTTCCGGCTTATTTGACATTTTAGAAGTTCCGTGATTTTTTTTATTTTTTTTATTTTTTAGCTAAAGCAATACAGTAAGTGTAAGCCCCCCACCCCCCTCTCCCCCCTAATGTAAGCCCCAACCCCTCCCCCTAAGAAGCTAGCGTCAGAGGGGAGGTATAGGCTGTCTGCTTCCACGTGTGGCTCTGGCAGCTCCGTGGGACACTCTTCAACAGACTCTTCCTGGCCTGCACTGGGCAGCTCATTGTTTATTGTTGGCAGCTGTGGTGGGTCCGGTGGTGGAGCTGGTTGTCTGCGCACTGGCGGCTGCGGCGACAGAGTCAGCCCTTCAGGCAACATCCAATCCAATGGAGCCTGGGGGACATGATTTGGTGAGGAGCATCGTGGTGTCACGAGGACAGGATTCGTTTGGGACTTTCGTGATGAGGTCTTCAAGGTGACTTGTATGCCTGTGCCATCATAACGTGTTACAACGATCTGAACAATGCTGCCTTCTGTGAAATTTCTTCTTGCAGATACATACCTCGATTTCTGTAGATGCTCGAGGTCTGCGTAGCAGCGTTCCGAAGGTCAGGTTGAGCCTGTTTGGCATTACTGATGGAGGGGGCTGTTCACAGCAGAGGAAATAAAGTGTCTTTCAAAACAAAATCATCCTTGGCTCATGTAATCAGCAATAGACTAGATTACCCTAATTTGGCAGAATTCAGTACTAAAATATGTCAGCCGAGTAGTTTCAATTGGCGCACATACCTGAGCTCGAACAAGGTTCTTCGATGCCAGCATTTGCATCATGCATTGGTTCATATCCAGAGTCAGGACCTTGCTCAGTGTCGTCACCAGAAGGGGTTGACGATGTGCTGACTTCTTCAGCGATGAGTGTGGCCTTTGCTTGTGCCGGTGCCTCCAGCAATTCAGCAATTATCTATAAATGATAGGCATAAAAACTTACAACATGCAAACAAACACACTGTCAATATGCTGCTAACACCCAGGTTCTGCTCAAATGAGGGTGACTGGCCCAAGCCCTTATCTTCGTTAGGCTCATGTCACTCTGTGTACCCTCCTCATCTTGACTTTGCTTGAACTGGTAAGCAAATCACACCGTCAAGTGCACAGTCATGAACACTAAGATGAAACGATCGAATGACGACCGAGGTTAATTAGTGGCCTTGCCTCGAGTCGAGAAATTGAACAACACTTGTAATAGCCTCTTGATTGGGGTGCAATTGTCATAAATGGCCAGCTGGTGTTCTTAGTGAACTTTATAAATAAACACCACATTCCACGAGATTAAGACAGAGTAACTCAGCAAAAGATTTCGCAGTGTTTATTTTTGTTCTAAATTGGCGCGCGTTTAGCAGCATCTATTTTTGGCACTAGAATTGATTTTTGCTGCAATTTAATTCCATACACCACCAGGTTTTTAGGCATTCTCAGCACTTGTCGACGTGAAGCATTACTGCGAGCATGTATTCAATGTATGGGAAGAACATAGACGAAACAAGATCTTATAAACCGGCACACTGTTTACAAAAAAGCCTGCATTTGCCCACACCAGGTGTGGGGACTGTGCGAACGCAGAAACCGAATTCACGTGAAGCCTCTGCGCCTGCGCAGTGCCGTCAAGAGTGCCACCGCAGGTGCGTGACGTCAGGGCCGCGTGTTGGTCTATAACTAAGATATCGTCATAGTAATCAGAAATATAAACAAGGGGCGGAAATATGTACCATAACAAGGTTCTCATTAAAAAAACTGCAGCACTCTTTTTCATTTATTTTCCGCAGTTGAGAGAAACTGCCTTCCAGGTTAACACTGAACAGATGAAGCGACAGCAGCTTGACCACCTCATCAGGGAGAGCAGACCAGAGAGGAAAATGAGTTTTCCAAAATAGAATGATGTATACAGGCACACTTTTCTAAATGGCGTGGCACTCATACTGTGAGTACCCTATTCCGAAATTCAACAGCATCTCCTTATGCGCCACAATGAAGAATAGCACATGCTCAAGATGCCGCGGAGTTTGCACATCCTGCTCAAGCTCGGAATGTACCCGCTGCAAACCAAAAGGAAGTACGTAGATCATCAATTAACCACATTCTCCCAGGAATGGTTCAGCTCGGTCCTATGTGCCTTTTTCAGGTAGCCCAAATCAAAATTAGATATTTATTGGTTTATGCCAAATTTCTCAAATTAAAATTAGCTGGCATTTATCAGTAGTAATAAAGATAAATACCAGCCTTCACAACTGAGCCAAAGGTGCCGGCGCAAGCTCGTAGCTTCAAAGCAAGTTTCTAGCAAATGAGCCCGAAAACCGAGTGCCATCGCCGCAGCTACTATACTCCGTTTCACCTTATGTTGTACCGCAACGGAGAGCTCACAGCGTAGGCAGCTGCCTACGCTGTGAGCTCGCAGGAAAGGCTACAAGCTCGAGCTTGTAGCCTTTCCTGCGGTACATCATAAGGTGAAACAGAGTATAGCTGCAGTCTCGCCATGTACACGATACCGACAGTGGAGCACCTGCGATTGGCGGCAACCTTTCGTCCGGCTAAGGGCACGATAGCGAACACGGATATAGTACACACTTACCCTGCGCGACGCTGTTAGCGAAAACGCGATCTCGGCGTTTCTCCGCGCTCGTCCTCAAAGGCGAGTTAGCAGGCTTGCGCTAACAGCGTCGCGCAATGTACTACGCTAATCTCACGACCACTCGCATTCGTGCTTTCCTCTCAGAAACAAGCAGAAAAATATTTCAGTAGCTGCGCTCACCTCTTTCCGTCGCCGTTTTTCCACGGCGCCGCTGTGCCGCTCTCGCTTGCGTTTTCGCGTGAAGAGCGATGGCACCACGCCAGGCTTCAAATAGGCCTGTTGTACAGGCAAGCCCAGACTTTGCAGTAACTTCGGGCTCGTCTTGTAGTCCTCGTCTTCGAAGTGCTCCGTGCAAAGACAATCGCCTTTGGCGGGCTTCCATGTTGGCTGGGAAGGACGGGCCGCGCGAATCCGCAGCTTCCGCAACGTGGGCTCACTCGGAAACTTGTGCGCAGGCCTGCCGCTGTAACATACGCTGTTCGAGCAGTCTTGTGCAGCGCAGTACCGCGGCATAATTATTAAAGAAACTGGATCAGAATGAGGAACACTCGGCGCGGTTCTCCATTAGGACTGCAGCGGGACAACCGAGTCTGCCAAGGAGCGAGAGGTCTGTGACGTCAGTTCCGCTAGGGCTCCTCCGCGGTGGCGTCAATCGCACCGGCGGCTTCCGGCCGACGGATTGCTCGAACGCGGCTCTTCAATCAAAGAAATATAATAATCCGATCACCATCCCTTGGTATGGTCTTGATTTTTAGGTATAGTAACGTCCCGGGCAGCTCGTCCGGGGCTTATTTTGAAAAGTTCAGATATCGGTTCAGTATCCCTTTAAAGGACTAATGCATTAAGTGCAATAAAGCTGTCCCCACCTTATGACTATGGTGTCTCGAACGCGCCACTGAATTATGTGTTTTCCGCGTCTTAAAACGACATCCCTTGATTTCCGCCTTATGACGTCATAGACGTGTCACGTGGCGGCCCGCAATGTCGGTGGTGTCACTCCTTAAAAGAATTGTCAATGAGTTTTCATTGAGTTTCTAATGTACTCTAAAATAATACATTAGGAGCTCAATTGAAACTCATCGATTATTTTTGTAAGGGACAACAGTGGTAGCGGATGTAGCGGACGCCTATTCTGCCGCAGGTCGCTTCCGTCTTGACAGTCTGGGAACGTTCGGCAGCCATGGGAGTCGGGACGCCGCGATGACAGCGACGCTTGAGTTCGGAACGCAGAATACGTTCTATAGCCCGAACCCGGCCATTTTCGTCACCCAACCGGGGCCGAAAGTCGATGAGCCGAATGATGACGCGGTGCTCGTCTTCTCACTGATTGGTCACCGGTGCCAGCAGAAGGAGTTTGAGTGAATCCGCTTTATTTCCAGCCGGGGAAAAAAAACAAAAAAACAGATACATCGCGTGTTCAGACATACAGCGGCGCTCTGCTCCGTGAAACGAGAGCGGGCTTCCACAGAGAAAGAGCGCGAGAGAGAGCGAGCGACAGTAAGCAGAAAGAGAACAAAAATGCAGACGCTCCCTTGGGCGTGCTCACTTCATCGTAACGGTATCAACTAGGGTGCCTCAATGTCCTTCTGTTTAGGGTGATGCCACCCTTTGTAGTACCAGATGCCGACAGCACGCGCTCACGGGCAAAATACAAAGAAATCGACGAAAACAAAATGTCGCCATAGCACAGTCAGCGCCACAAGCGCGTGCAGGGACACGCTCTTTCACGCGCTTCTCAACAAAAAATAAAAATAAACGTGTGTGACAAAATGGCGAGATGCCACCACCCTAAGCAAAGCGCGCATGAAGGCACCCTAGTATCAACGGGTTAGAGCCACACTTGTGCCTATCTCAAACACGTGGCACGAGCAAACTTGAACATTCTTTCGAGCAACCAAATCCTGTTGCTTGCTGGAAAAAAAAAATGCGGACGCTCCATTAGGCGTTTTCAGTTCATTGAAACGGTAGCAACGGGTTAGAGCGACAGTAAGCAGAGAGAGAAAGAAATGCGGACGCTCCGTTAGGCGTGCTCGCTTCATCGTAACGGTAGCAACGGGTTGAAGTTTATGTTCGAGCCTTTGGTTCCCTTTGGTCAGAAGCTACAGCGCCAGTGCTTTGCTCGGCGCTGCCGCGTTTAGTTCATCATTGTTCGCCGCGCGCTTCGTCTGCTGCGTCTCACACTCCGACAGGCCTGCGAGAAAGTCGCATTTCCATTGCCACCTCGGAAGATGTCACCCAGCTACCATTCGCGCCATCCAATCTCCACACGTGTACATATAGATCTCCACACTGCCTTTGCCACGCTATACTTCGTTTCAGCTTCGGTCCAGACGCAGCCGATGCTACAAGCGCGAGCATGTGGCCCAGAACAGTGCTTGCACTGCACCAGCGCGCGTGCTTGGCAGGGATGCTGAAAGCCCGGAGCTCGCGCTTGTAGCTTTGGCTGGCTCTGGACCGAAGCTGAAACGAAGTATAGTATCAAACAGCCGACTTTTTCCACGAAATTTCTACGCCCAACCGCCAGAATCGCGACATCCGACAGCAGGACACTCCTATTCCTGAGTCGTCATCTTTTGCCACTTCGGGGCGGCGTTCCAGACAATGTACTTAAAACATTAAAAAAAATATATAAATTAAAAGTTTTGGCGAATGGCAATTGTGTTGCATATACTCTCAGAAAGGGGGGGGGGGGGGGGGGGGGGGGTGTAGCACTTACACCGCTCGTCCCATACATAACTGTCCAAAAGCTACAGTTCAACGTTTAGTCCACTGACATCGAACCTACGATACCAACTTTCGCAAGCGGCTCGATAGTCGAGTAATACAATTCATTAAAATCGCTAATGTACGCATTAGATACTGTAGAAAAATACTCAAGGTTTGGTTGGCCCTGCTGGAAAACCTCATTCTTTTTTCTTCTTTTTTTTGTAGTTTTTGATACGTAGATTAGCTAGTATTTAGTAAGCTATGTCACACAGATATCAAGCCGTTCCTAAACGTTGGTGTCGTCAGTTCCACGTCAATGGACTAAACGCCGAAATGTAGTTTTGGGGGGTTATATATACGACAAGCGGTGTAACTACTACACCCTCTGTTTATTAGAGTGTACGTGAAACGTTCTAGGAGCACAAACGTTTAGCGATACTCCCAGTTTCCAGACGCCCACGTTCACGGCGCTTTTAATCAGATAGTATAACGCGCACCATTTGTACACTTGATCGTTGTTCCTAGAAAGAAGCGGTACTATAGTCGGTGACAGGTCAAGAAGGAAGTGGAAGCCCCTCCCACCTCTTTCCACCATAGCAGAGCGAATGCTGAGGAGGAGGCGACCTCCTCTCCACCGTCCCCTCTGCTAAAGTGGGAAGAGGTGGGCGGAGCTTCCACTTCCTTCTTCACCTGTCACCGACTATAGCCCTAATCGGACTGATAAACCTAATGAAAAGAAGTTTAGGACGCAAACGAGATGGCCTCGGAGTGCTTTTACTACGATAAACCTGGAGATATTCCAGAGCGTTCCACACTCTCGAGCTCCTCTCCCTCGGTGCGCTCAGGTGGCCGAGCCAACACCACCTAGACAGAAGGCCTCCGCACGGTTTCTTCTTCCTCTATGAAACGTCATCACAGTCGGATCGCGCTCGGTCGGCTATTGGATCCGAGCCCGACCTTCGACGCGCTGATTGGCCACGAGCCGCAGCCGAACACTGACGCAGCACTCGTGCCCAATCTCTCGCCTCGATCGATCTGACTATAATGACGCGTGTGGAGGCCTTCTGTCCAGGTGGTGTTGGCCGAGCTCCTCCTCGCGTACACCTCTGGTCACATTACCTCCTTGTTAACCAATCAGCGTCGATCACTTATCTCCTCCTCTCCCACCCCTCAACCAATCGGTGTCGAGACTCGCGGCTTGTCTTTTATCCAGGCTTCACTTCTGAACGTCACGAAATGCCAAACATCTAACCAAAAAACGTGCCACGTTTAAACAAAAAAACAAAAAAGAAAACACAAATGCGTGACGAGTTTTATATGACTCCTCTCTCACACCGCATGTAGATTAAACTCTCGACGGATCACCTAGCGGCTTGCCTCATTACCCCACTTTTTTTCTTTCCGGTGAACCGCAGAGGTGCCGTGCAAACACGCCACTAAGTACACACGAAGTGTCCCAGCAGAGGTGCGCTCCCCCATCCGGCCGTTCACGATGTCCGCGACCCAGATTCCAGCGGAGCGGGGCAGGGCTTTCGTTTTTCATCCGCTCTCGGTCGGCATTCTTCTTCCTCGTGGCGCGGCCGTATGCGTAATCCTTTTAGGCTGGGCCCTGCACCTCTCGGATAACGGGGCCGGAGTGCTGGGTTTTCTGCGTCCCCTACAGGTGGCCAACGGGGGCCGCGAATTGAACACTCGCTAACAGCTTCCGGGGATACAGAGGAGTACGTTTGCCGACTATACTTGGGAATTAGGCTGCTGATTTATGCGACTTTGACAAAAGACAAATCGTGATGGCCCGATGGCTCAAGACAGCTGTCTAGGAAACTGTAAGGCTCGTCGGGTGTTAGCGAGCTGCCTTCGTTAGTACTTATATTAGTTGAATGACGTTGAAACTGTTAGTCGCTACCCGTTCACGCCTCATCACAGAATCTAGACGTCGAAAGCTTTCCCGCTTGTTGAGTCAAAATAGGCGGCTTCCTGTGGCTCAACCGACAGCTAGATACAATGTAGGTCAAATTACGAGTCTTTCTGAGCACACACTTTATTGGGCTTCGTAGTATATGCGTGGTACTCTGAAGCAGACGACCCTTGTGACTGTTGTGTGTGCGAATGGTGGGTCAACACAGTATTAAATAGGTGGTCATAATGTTTTCGCTGATCAGTGCCATGGACACCGCACGCAGCTGCCAGGTAAAGTCCTCTCCTCGTCTTTGTTGCAACCGGTACCACCAGATGACCCTTCGATAAGCGACTAGTGGTACCCTGTACCGGGTCCGGTTTCCCAATCTTCTCTGTAAACTACATGCTTCCTTCCTTGTTTTTCTTTCTTCTTTTTTTGAAAAGGGGGGGGGGGGGGGCGCATTAGGCAAAACTTGGCACTTGCACTGCGCCTGTTGCTTAGACACTGCTTCGCAACTGTCTCTAGTTTCGTGCCTCAACGGCGGCCAGAGCAGTCTTACGAACTTCTTGAAGCGGAGAGATTTATGGCGCGGTGTTCAAGCCAAAGTCCGTCGAGGTAAGAGCAGATGCGCCGAGGGAAAAAGTCCATGTACCCGGGTGCCACGGCAACGAGTCACTTTATTTATACCCTCAGTTACGCCATCTGGCCGGCGGAGACGCTGTCGACATAGGTATGCTCGGGCGCGCGCCAACAGGACTTTATCTGGTTTATCGATCGCGTCGCAGCGTTCGACGTGCTCTGTGTTCTCGCCTAAAGAGTACCTTACACCCTTGTCCTTACTCACTCCAACCCGAGTCCCAGTCACGCGCCTGACGTAGCACTCGCGTCCGATTCGAGCCCCGCGTTGGCCGCTCGTAGGTGACGTCAAAAATCCAGCGATGCGGCCTCGTTATCTAGGA